TGTGGGGGGTGGGGGGGTAGTGGGGGTGGATGGAGGGCTTGTGGGGGTAGTGGTGGTGGATGGAGGGCTTGTAGCGGTATTGGTGGTGAATGAATAGTTGGTGCATGTAATCCCCTCCATTGTCGTTTGGCTGCTGGCTACTGCGTACAGTGGGAAGGAGGATTGAAGCACCGCGAGGGCCTGGCTTTACCGAAGCGCGCAATGGGTACCCCCACCCCATCCCGCATGGTGGCAATGAAATCTCTCCCAGTAAGGACACTGGGGCACTGGGAGGTGCATGCCAGCCACAGTGTCCCTAGTTTGAGCCACTGCCCCTGGCAGGGGCTGGGGACATCCCTGCATGCCCGTGGCCATCCCCCAACTGAGCCATGCTGCCAAGACAAAGTGGGCTGGGTCAGGTCCCCAGGACACTCTGGGCTTCTTTGAAGGGTGTCTTCCCACCACCTCCTAAACCTGCACCACACCCTAGCCACCCCCAAGCACCCCCCCAAATCCCCCTAGCTGGGCCCCCATAGACTCCCAGACCCTCAATGACCCTCATGCCCCCAAAGACCCCTAGCTGGACCCCCCAAAGACTCACATCCTCCAAAGACCGCCAGCCTTCCAAGACCCACAACCCTTCAAAGACCCCCTGCCTCCAAAGACCCAGAGTTGGGCCCCAAAAACCCACATCCCCCAAGGATCTCCCACTAGGCCCCCAAAGACCTCCAGCCTCCATGACCCACAATGCCTCAAAGACCCACATGCCTCCAAAGACCCAGAGTTGGGCCCCAAAAACCCACATTCCCCAAAGACCTCCCTGCAGTTGGGCCCCCAAAGACCCATGGATGCCCAAAGTCCCACATACCCCCGAAGACCCCATAGCCAAACTCAGATCCCTGGAGGACAGACCCTTGGCCCAGACCCGTGCCCAAGACCCCTAGCATGGTCCTTGGGATGTCCTGATGAGGATAAGGCCACGATAATGGGGACAGAGCCCACGTCGAGCAGCACTCACCTTTCGTAGTGACCAGAAAGCAGAGGCCAAGCACAGCCAGGGCACCCCACAGGCGCATGCCCATCTCTCTAGGGCCTGGCAGGTGCTGGATGCAGTGGGGAACTCAAGCTTGTCAATCCCCCCCTGCCGCAGGCACAGTGGGACTGGGGCATGAGCAGGTGCTGTGGGACCTTTGGTCCCAAGACAGAGGTGGGAGGGCTGAAACCTGAGCTGCAGGTGCCGGAGAGCAAAGCTGCTGATCTGCCCACCCCCAGCCGTGGCTGCCAACACCCTTTTCCCAGCAGAGATGTTGCCCCAAATAACCCACATGAAGCCACAAGGTGGTTGATGCCAGCAGGTAGCTGCCCAACACCCTCCCCAAGGAACTCCAAGGGTCTTCCAGGCACATCCTAGTGTGCCTGTGGGACCAGGGGACTCCATCGCATTCCCAAGTCCCTTGACGTGGCTCGCGCCCTCCGAGTCCCTTGGGCAGACCCCGGTTGGGCATAAGAGGTGGGAGGGAGCAGGATGGGGATGGGAACATGGGACAGGTACACAAGACATGGATGTGGGACAGGGACAGGGATGTGGGATGGGAACATGGGACAGGGATGGGGCCAGGGGGTGGGGATATGGGACAGGGCTGTGGAGGTGACACACAGACGGGGACACGGGGTGATGCTGGTGATGTGAGACACAGGGTGGGGGGAGGGGGGTGTCAGACATACAAGGAACATGGGACACGAATGGGGAGGGAAAGGGGACATGGGGGACCTGGTGCCCCAAAGACAGCTGGTGGGACCCTGGCCAGTCTCCTAGAGATGCCTGGTCCTTCCAGCCACCTGCCCCATCCTGTGCCACCTCCCAGTTTAGGGTCTACTGGTTGCCATAGGGCCCCGGGGTCCTGCTGGGGTTGTCCCCTGGCTCTTCTTTTGGGGTGATAGGGGGCTTTTGGGGTCCTGGGGACGACCTCTATATACCCCCATGCCTGAGTCCTCCAGCACAGGGCAGGGGCTGGTGGCACAGGTTGGGAACACGGGGACTCATGTCCTCGAGGACACCAGTGTCCCCAGCTGCCAACAGAGGATGCCACGAGTTGAGCAATGCTCAACCTCAAAATTGCCCTACTGTCACAGAGAGGGGACATCGCTGGCAGCTGGGGACCTCGGAGACCTTAATGTCCTTGGAGACCCTGCTGTCCCTAGCTACCAGAGAGACCAAGATGCCACAAACCCGGAAATCACCCCAGCACCAAAAAAGGGGACATGGAGATGGGACATTTAGGGCGGGTGCGAGTCCCTCATGGCCCAGGGTCATGGGTGCCACTCCAGGGTGTCAATGTCCCCTTGGGGCATGGCTGTTCCAGCTGTAGGCATTTCCCAGCAGGAAGACACCAGGTGCTGGCTCATAAGCAATCAAGGCTTTGCCCCGGTCAGGGGACACGTGGGGACGAATGTGCGCCAACTCCTGCACCGCCCAGATGGGGTGTCCTACTCCGAAACACCCGCCGGGGATGTGTCCGTCCCCAAGGGTGCCCAGGGTCCTTGCAGCTCCGTCCTGGGGACAGGGGACAGATGCGCTTGGTGGCCTCCCAGGGTGAGAGACATCGGGGTGTCATTGCAGTGGGATGGGGGGGGGGGACAGGGGGTGACGCTG